GACCCCGCCGGGGAACTCTGCAGTGTCATTTCGACTTAGACCTTGTCCCCGTGTGAGGGAAGGAGCTGGGAGTTTGGAATGGTGTCCTTCTATGCTTCGTGGAGGGGTGAGCAGGGAGAGTCCGTCCTGGGGCGTCCAGCTCTCTGCTCTTGCACGGGAACCGGCTCTGAGACTGCCTACGAGGGTCTCCTCTGAGACGGGGTCCCGGGTATGAGCTGTCAGCCGCAGAAGTGCATTACGGCCAGAGAGGGGCACAGCAGAAATTGAAGGGGGTGCTAGAGGGCTTGGGCAGGGCATCCACAGAGCCCAGCACATCCTGCCAGAACGTGAGCCCGACGAAGACGGACCTCTGTTTTGCTCGCACGGACCAGAAGCACCTATAAGAGCACCTGTTCTGTAGCCCGTGGCCTCCATGTGTGTGAATTAACTGCAGTTGTCAATGGGAAGGAGTGTTACCTCTGCCCACATTTGCCTGGCTTCTGAAGGTCTTCCACGCCCAAGGTAATAAACGATTTTCCTGTAGTTGGTACTAATATGTTTTATGGTTGTGTTTCTCACATTAACTTTTTAATTCTCCTGGAGTTTTTCTATTTTCCTTCATGCTAACTGGCTTGTTGACGTATAATTTACATGCCGTAAAAGGTACAAATATTAAATTCACAGAGTGGTAAGTTTTTACATATGTATACATCACAGAACTGCCGCCTGAATTAAGATACAGAACATTTCTGGGGCACCTGGGTGGCTAAGTTGGTTAAGCTTCCAACTTAGACTCAGGTCGTGATCTCGCAGTTCATGAGTTCGAGTCCCGCGCCGGGCTCTGTGCTGACAGCTAGCTCAGAGCCTAGAGCGTGCTTTGGATTCTGTGTCTTCCTCTGTCTCTGTCTGCCCCTCCCCTGCTCATTCTGTCTCTCTCTCTCAAAAAGAAATAAACATTAAAAAAATCTTTTTAAAAAAGACAGAACATTCCTATCTTTCTGGAAATTCTCTTCTGCCCCTTTTCAATCAATAATAATTTACCCAATAGAGGTAGCCACTATTCTGACCTCTATTGCCATAGAGTAGGAAAATGAATTGAGTCTCAGATGGAAGAACAAAAATTGAAATAATTTAAAATTTCAAGAAAGACATAAAATAATTATGTTGTTCTTTTGCATGAAGGCAAACAAAGTCTCATTAAATTGAAACTCTTGGGGGACCACCTGGATGGCTCAGTCAGTTAAGTGTTTGACTCTTGATTTTGGCTCAGGTCATGATATCATGGTTCGTGAGTTCAAGCACCAAGTCAGGCTCTGCACTGACAGCCTGCTTAGGATCCTCTCTCTCTCTGCCTTCCCCCATTTGTTCTTTCTCTCTCTCTCAAAATAAAAGTTTAAACAACTTACTTTTTTTTTATTTATTTTTTATTTTTTTTTACAAATAGTTTATTGTCAAATTAGTTTCTACATAACACTCAGTGCTCATCCCCAAAGTGCCCTCCTCCATGCCCATCCCCTCCTCCCCCCCACATCCATCAGTCCTCAGTTTTTGTCAGCATTCAAGAGTCTCTCATGGTTTGCCTCTCTCCCTTTCCCCCACCATTTCTGCCCTTCTTCTCCCCCTTGTTCCTCCGTCAAGTTCCTCCTAATCCTCCTATACGTGCAAATATACGATATTTGTCCTTCTCTGCCTGACTTATTTCGCTCAGCATAACACCCTCAAGGTCCATCCATGTTGCTACACAGGCCAGGTTTCATTGTTTCTCATTGCCATGTAGTATTCCATGGTATAGATAAACCACATCTTCTTGATCCATTCATCTGTTGATGGACACTTAGGCTCTTTCCATGTTTTAGCTATTGTGGAGAGTGCTGCTATGAACATTGGGGTACATGTGCTCCTATGCATCAGCACTCCTGTATCCCTTGGGTAAATTCCTAGCAGTGCTATTGCTGGGTCACAGGGGAGTTCTATTGTTAGTTTCCTGAGGAACCTCCACACTGTTTTCCAGAGGGGCTGCACCAGTTTACATTCCCACCAACAGTGTAGGAGGGTGCCCGTTTCTCCACATCCTCGCCAGCATCTAGAGTTCTCTGATTTGCTCATTTTAGCCACTCTGTCTGGCGTGAGGTGGTATCTCAGTGTGGTTTTGATGTGTATTTCCCTGATTAGGAGGGATGCTGAGCATCGTTTCATGTGTCTGTTGGCCATCTGGATGTCCTCTTTGGAGAAGTGTCTGTTCATGTCTTCTGCCCATTTCTTCACTGGGTTGTTTGTTTTTCGGGCGTGTAGTTTGGTGAGTTCCTTATAGATTCTGGATATTAACCCTTTATCTGATATGTCATTTGCAACTATCTTTTCCCATTCCGTTGGTTGCCTATTAATTTTCTGGGTTGTTTCCTTGGCTGTGCAGAAGCTTTTAATCTTGATGAGGTCCCAACAGTTTATTTTTGCTCTTGATTCCCTTGCTTTTGGGGATGTGTCAAGTAAGAAGTTGCTGCGGTGGAGGTCAAGGAAGTTGTTTCCTGCTTTCTCCTCTAGGGTGTTGATAGTTTCCTGTCTCACGTTCAGGTCCTTGATCCATTTTGAGTTGATTTTTGTGCATGGTGTGAGATAATGATCTAGTTTCATTCTTCTGCATGTTGCTGTCCAGTTCTCCCAACACCATCTGTTAAAAAGGCTGTCTTTTTTCCATAAACAGTTTACTTTAAATAAGTAAAACTCTTGGGGTGTCTGGATGGCTCAGCTGGTTGGGTCCAACGTAGGCTCAGGTCATGATCTCCTGGTTCATGGGTTCAAGCCCCACATCAGGCTCTGTGCTGACGGCTGAGAGCCTGGAGCCCACTTCGGTTTCTGTGTCTTCCTCTGTCTCTCTGCCCCTTGCCTGCTTGCGTGTTCTCTCTCTCTCTCAAAAAGAAATAAAACATTAAAAAAATAAAACTCTTAAAAATAGAGGCTTTGCCTGTGAAACAAAGACCAGAGGAACAGTGATGGAGAGAAGAGTAATGGGAACACGTCAAATCCGCCGTCCGGCCTTTCCCGTTGAGGTCTGCCTGGAATCGGTTTGTAGATGATGGCTAAGTGAGGTCAGGGTTCACTACTGCCTCCATGGGTCTCGATCCCATGACCTGGAACCCTTGATTGGAAAGCCCTCATGATCCTGCGGCTCCCCAGCATCCCCTGTCATGAGCAGAGTGCTGTGTATGTGGCAGAGGAGCCCCACATCTGCTCTCTTGCATCGGGCCCCCTGCCCCAGCCTGCACCACTGCCACACTCCCTTGGTGGCAAAAAAAGAAAAGAGAGGGGGCGCCTGGGTGGCTTAGTCGGTTAAGCGTCCGACTTTCGCTCAGGTCATGATCTCGCGGTTCGTGGGTTCGAGCCCCGCGTCGGGCTCTGTGCTGACTGCCAGCTCAGAGCCTGGAGCCTGTTTCAGTCTGTGACTCCCTCTCTCTCTGACCCTCCCCTGCTCACGCTGTCTCTCTCTCTCTCTCTCTCCTAGAAATAAATAAAAATATTTAAAAAAAAAAAAAGAAAAGAGAGAATTTTATAAAGCAAATGGTACAATGAAAGTAGGAAAATGGCAACCATAAATGAAATTTAAGATCAAGAGAAATGAAGAATTCGAAAGCTGGGAAGGTAGTGAGGTGTCTGTGAAAGCAGCCAGAGCATAGAAACTGGAGCTAAGACAGCCCTTAGGCTCGATTGCGCGGCCCCTGCCTCCCAGGCCAGCCCCCGGGGGCCACCTGCTGTTCTCCAGGGCAGGGGCTCAGGCTGGAGCGGGTGTTGGGAAGAAGCCTCGCACTTCTCAAGGGCAAGGAATTTCATGTGGCTTCTCCTCCTCTCTCCACCTTTGACCTGTTTCCCCGACGCTGAGCCCCCCCTGCGCTGCGCTGCTCTGCTCGTCCCAGTCCCAGGCTCACTTCACGGCTTATGGATGCCTCCGAGCCAGCGGCCAGGGAGAGCCAGCGGCCAAGGCGGCGGGGAGACACAGCCCCGGGGAAAGAGGGCAGTGGCGCAAGCGACCTCAGCCGGGAGCGGCGTGCTGGGGGCTGTTGCTTTTTTAAGGTCCATAACAATGGAGATCATGTTAGACGTGTTATCGGGGAGGGTCACAGATTTTGCTGCCAATCCGTGGTTGACGCTGGTTTTTGACAAAAAGTGATGTCACTTCTCATTACAGCCACCTGTGTTCACATATTTGTAGCAAAATCCCAGGCGATTCCCTGGGAGCTAGGTCAAATTTCTTGTACTTGCAAACGGCAATGGAGTCTATTTTCACATACACGCGTCCGAAATGTGTTCCGCGTTTATATCAGATATCATCACTTCCAACAAATAAGAGAGAACTTGAGTGTGATTTTTCCTTGTAAGACTTTTATTCATGCTGGAAACGAAACAGTAAGAAACATAACGAACATTTTAAGATCAACACGACTGTGGGTACAGGACGGTATCAGGGACGGAGCAGGCCTTGGCAGGGGAAAGCCAGTCCTGAGGGGAGCCTTCAGTCTCGACTCCGAGCTAAGGGCCACAGTTCAGCCTGTCCTTGCTCCAGGGAGGCGGCCTGGACAGTGACCTGCACAGGGTGACCCTGTGCCTTTGAGGCCACACGGTGTCCTGGGCCTCAGGGCTCCTCCCTCCCCAAGGAAACCCGAACTCCCGAAGTCTCCCCTTCGGCACAACCCCTGATCATTTCTTGAAGAAATGAGATGGAAGAAAACCAGGCAAAAAGGAACTACAGAAAACAACGTGAGCTCAGTTGTCCCGCTGTTTTCTCGCACAGTGGACGCACATGCCGTGTGTGCTTGACTCGGAAGGGTACCTGCAATCTTTTCTATTAAACAACAACAACCGGAGCACCTGGGTGGCTCAGTTGGTTAAGCATCCAACTTCAGCTCAGATCATGATCTCACAATTCATGAGTTCGAGCCCCGCATTGGGCTCTGTGCTGACAGCTCGGAGCCTGGAGCCTGCTTTGGATTCTGTGTCTTCCTCTTTCTGCACCTACCCAGCTCGTGCTCTGTCTGTCTCTCTCAAAAATAAATAAACATTAAAAAAATTTTTAAAAGAGACCCCCAAACCTCAGAGCCTGGTCAGAATCACAGCCCCATTACACATGGCTCATCTCCGCAGGAGAACGGGGTCTGGCCGCCAGCATCTTTCTTGTGGCGCCTTCTCGGGAGCATATGCTTCTCCGATTTACCTGTACTTTGCATCCCTGGGTCATTGGCTTCGGGGCAAATATCCATTAGCGGTCTGATCAAAGCGGGACATAATCACACATACCCTGGAAAGGAGAGTGAAGTCATGTGTTTTGTTAACGCCTCACTAACTGCTTCCAAACGAGTCACACCACTCATGTGTGTTGCTTCCTGCAGTCAACACTTCCCTGGAAATACTTTATTGAAAGAGGTTTTGTGTGAGTGTGGCCCACTGGATGACATTTCGGTATGGACATGCTTTCCACTGTATTGTTGATCCATCGCACGTCTGGTGTGGTTCTTGACACTGGCGCATGCAGTTGTGCGGCACCGGCCTTCGTCGGCATCTAAAGACAGGTGCCCCCTCCTCAAGGAAGTTTCCATCTGTGGGAACCGACAGTCTGCCACCCCGGATCCTTGCTTGAGGCTCTGTGACTCTTCGCAAGTTACAGAGGGAAGAAGACCGCTCCTGACAGCTCTGGCCTGTGTGTTGGGGCAGGGGGCCGGCTGCAGGGTGCAGGGCCCTCACATTTCTCCATCCGGGCTCACTGACGACTCTATGTCCTTGAAAGCATTCAACCATCCCGCCACCTTACTCCAGGAAGAAAACGAGGTCACCAGATCCTGCTGCTTTGAACATCAAAATTATTTTTACGGTCTGAAAAGCCCAGACTGACATTTACTTACCTTTGGGGCAGTTTGGACCCGAAAACCCCACAGCAAAGCCTACAACTTCCCTGAGTGCCATCGGCCCGCCTGCCCCTTTAATCCTTTCGTGAGACGCTGTGCCAGTCAGAATGACGGGCGTATAGCTGCTCCATTCCCGGGTGTTCACGTCTGTCTTCCGGGTGCAGGTGCTCAGAAGAATCGGGAAGGGCCATTAACTACAACTCCACGCCTGACTGAGACCTTCATCTGGCTCCCCTCAACCCCAGCGGCCCCTGAAGGAGGGGGTGACACAATGCCCCCGCGACACAGTGGCACTCTTTGCTCTCAGGACTTAGCTATCGTAAAGCAGAAGGGAGAAAGTCGTTGTTTCACTCAAAAGCTGGCGTCCAGCATAGGACAGACAGGGACAATTTGTGCTTTCCCCGAGGTGGCAAACAATTCTGCCGCCACCAGCCAGCTCTCGGAAAACGCCGTGCGAGGGACCACACGATCTCAGGATGGCTTTCACAGTGACGGTCAGGAGGGATCGCTTGGGGCCCTCCCATTTGACCACCACAAAGAACACCCAGCTTGGCACCCATACTCTATGACAGGGAGGGGGGGTGACAAGTCCTCTTGTGCGTGCATGGGTCACTCATGTCCACAAAGTGGACCAAACTGCTGGGTCTCATCAGATTCCTCGGAGGCAGTGGAAGATGGTGGAAGGGGCCTGTGGGGGCCTCCCCCCAGGCCTCGGCTCGGTGAGGGGCCTGGGGCACCTTGTCCCTCCTCTGGCTCGCATTTTCTTCCAGGTGGGAGCAACGGTCTCTGCCCAGCCTCCCTGCGGAGGTTTCTAAGATGGCATGACACCATGCATGTGAAAAGGCCAGAAGCAAGGGATTCAGCCGCAGGGAGCTGTCCAACCACAACACCCTTAGAGCCACCGGTGTCCCCTGACACACTCGCCACAGAGCCCAGGACTCACTGCTCCTCTCACTTGCCTTGTCTTTCTCTGGGGCTAGAAATGACTTGTCTGCTGGGGTCTTTGGAGCAAGGAATGTGAACTCGGCCACCATCTCTGGGTCTGAGCTCCTCCACCGCGTCTCCGGGAGCCCCTCCGCCAGGACAATTTATGATCCGATGGAAGCACAGAAGAAAGGTCAGAATTTGCAAGCATTAGAGGCATATGATCCTATTTCGTAGCGATACCAGCTCGAACCTGCACTCCAAATGCTCCGTGGGAGAGATTCTTAACCAAGCTCTGGGGAAAATACTACCCCAAGTCTTGTTTTGATTCTTCCTACGGTGCCTGAATGAATGGACTTTTCTCCATGACGGTCCATGGCCGCCGAATCCTCCGTCTCCGCCTCTTATGTCTGGGGAGCCGACGCCAAGCATCCCAGAGGCTCCGGGCAGGTGTGGCGGGAGAGGGACACGGCCGCGACAGGTGGGGGTAGGGGTGGGGTCAGAGGCCACTTCTTCCTTCTCCCCGCTCGGCGTGAACTAATAAGTCCTCTCTCCCAAAGGTTCTTGCCAAGCCCGCAGGAATCGCACACTCTTTCTGATTCCCGACCTGATGAGCCGTTGTGCAAGTCCGGCAAAAGGCGCCCAGAGCTTCGTGGCCCCACACGCGGGCAAGCACACGTCTCACGCTTTCGATTGCCTCTCATCCGTCCACTCCTGCCTGGTGCTCCGGAGGGCTTGCGTCTTCTGTTCGTCTACTTGCACATAGTCCACTCTTTGCTCTTCTGAAAGAAGTTTCTGAAGGGGGAGAACCAAACAGCTTTCCATTACATTGAATTCAAAACATTCAGGAAAATGCCAGCCCTTTGGCGGTAGATTACAGTGTTGTTAAATATTAGCCGCCTCCCCCCGGTCATTCCCTGCAGAATCTTTACAGTTCAGGTATATGCTCAAATATCCCTCCAACTCTGCCCCAGCCATTGGACTTGCTTTGACCAGCGTCCTATGAGTGGAAGTGACACGTGGCAATCCCGAAGGGACAAGAGGCAGCCTGTGCTTCTGCCCCGGATGATGGAGCTCCCAGGAGCACTAGCAGGAAAAGCCATTAAGACTTGGGGCTGGTCTGTCTGGATCGCACCACGTACCATACTGACCGAGGCGCCCCCTTCTGACCAGGTTTTCTGGAATAGGAGTTTAGGTTTGAGGAATGAAATTCAAGGTAAAGGAGAAGTGGAGTTTGTTTGGCAATAAGGGAAACGAAGTCTCCTGGACTTTCTTCCTGCGCGCCTGGCTTCCTGGCTTCCACTGTGCAGTGGGTGACACTACTTAATGGCCGGGGCCACTTACAGAGGTGCTAACCCACTGCATCCTCACAGCGGGCCTCAACATACATATTAGTTCTTCCGATCCCCACCTTACGGCGGACAATACTGTCCAAAGGAGTGGAAACTGCATTTGCCGAGGGGCTCCAATTCCAACTGTCATCTCTTGTCACCACTCCCCAGAGTCTAACCAAACCATGCTGTTAACTCCCACCCTAAGCAGGCCCCTCCCATGACCCACACACATATTTAAGACTATCCCAAGAGAGCATGTGTGGTTGAATCATCAGAAAAACCGCAACGAAAAAGGAATGCCCTGGAAACCCTCACGCGCTAAGTCCTTCCTACCTGCTGTACAGGGGCCGGCGATGCAGAATTGAAGTCCAGCGCTAGATAGTCCAGGCTGAAGTTCTTTGTCCACGTCAGAGTGCCACTGCTAAGGGAGCCAGCCGTCCTGCGATTCTGGAAAGCAACATCGCGGGACTCGGGTTAAGGGTCCCTGGGAGGGCTGCCCAGGGAAAGCAGGGCAAGTCCTGTCCCACCTTGAGCACCTGCCATCAGGTCACAGCAGGGTGCTCCAAGGACAGCTGCAGGGAGCCGCCTGAGTGTCGGAGTGAGAGCTGCCATTGAAATACATCATGGCCAATTCAGCCTTCACATGAAGCCACACCTTTACTCACCATGGGGGGCTGACCCAAAATCTCCCCCAAGAAGAGTCTGTTTTAAGGATCTGACAACTCCACGATACCTTAGAGACTAAATCCTGAAAAGATCAAGCACACTTATTAAAATCTAGTAAAGGCTTCTCAGATGCATCTGAATACACTTCATGCAGATGCAACCAGCGTGATGCGTGTGGCACGTGCCCACGGACTCCCGGGCGTCAAAAGCACCAGCCCCCCTTCTCAGACCGCCTTTGCTCCCCATGAGTGATCAGACACTAGACTGAATTCTGCATTCACCGTCTCTTTTTAAATATGGTTTCACGAGTGTGTCGGTATCCTTCAGTCTCACACTGTACTTTCGCCTGCTTTGAACGTTAGTCAGTGGAATCATATCACAGGTATGCTCGGTGACTTCCGGGTCTGCTCCAGACTACATACTTCACATCCAGCCGTGCTCACGTGCCGGCCACCTTCCTTCCCTCTCACTGGGAATAGATCATTCCATCGCATGACTCATTTAATCATCCTGCCTCAGCACACATCGGAACTGCTTCCAGTCTGGGGGCTCTTATAAGCAACGCTGCCATGAGCACTTGTGTAATTGAGGAAGAATTTCTAGAATGCGTCACTGGGAATAGAATTGCTGGCTTATAGGGGGTGGGCATATTCAACTTTACTATCCCCAAACTATTTTCCAAACAGCTGTGGTTATACCAACTCACACACCTACTAAGAAAGCATCCGAGCTCTTGTTCCTTTCCTTCTGGGCTAGTACGTGGTAATATCAAACTCTTTTTAAAAAAATATTTTATTTCTAAGTAATTTCTACGCCCAATGCGGGGCCCAAATTCACAATCTCGAGATCAAGAGTCGCATGCCCCACTTACTGAGCCAGCAGCCAGGCTCCCCAATATCAGACTTTTCGTTTTCCTGACTTTATTTGGGGAAAACAGTATCTTACCATGGTTTGATTTTCCATGCCCTTGATAATTAATTAATTGGCCACCTTTTTTTTAATGTTTTATTTATTTCTAGGAGAGAGAGAGATAGACAGCGTGAGCAGGGTAGGGTCAGAGAGAGAGGGAGTCACAGACTCCGAAACAGGCTCCAGGCTCTGAGCTGGCAGTCAGCACAGAGCCCGACGTGGGGCTCGAACCCACGAACCGCGAGATCATGACCTAAGTGAAAGTCGGACGCTTAACCGACTAAGCCACCCAGGCGCCCCTCTATGGAATTTTTTTAAGGAAGAGTAGTTCCCACTTTTTAAAATATTTTTGGGAGACAGAGACAGAGTGTGAGTTGGGGAGGGGCAGAGAGAGAGGGAGACAGACTCCAAAGCAGGCCCCAGGCTCTGTGCTGACAGCTCAGACGCGGGGCTCAAACCCACGAACCACGAGATCATGACCTAAGCCAAAGTCGGACGCTCAACTGACTGAGCCACCCAGGCACCCCAAAAGGTAACAGATTTTTAAAAACGTTTCCCCAATCTGTTCTGGTCTCTGGCCTTCATGCTAGAGCTTTCCTGCAAGGTCTGATGGAGTCATTGGCTGTCTGTTCATAGTTAGGAGTGAAAGACCCAAAAGCTGACTGGAAGCTTGGAGCACATGGGTGATGCTTGCCGACTGGGTCTCACTGCACTGGGGTCCTACTGGGTGGTTTTCTTGGTGAACCCCCCCATGTCAAGACCCAGGTCTTGCCTCGGGCGGCTCAACCAGCCCAGAGGAATATCTTCCAATCTCCAGGACTCAACCTTGAAAGTCTAGTTATCAATACTGTGGAGCAGAGGGGCTGGGGAACAGGTTCAGGGATGAAGATCATATCCATTATGCATATTTAGCTAATCACCTTGTTTTTATTTATTTTTTCTGAATATCTCATCTACATTTTGTCTTTAAATGAATTTACATTTTTTTATTCTTATTGTGCTGTATTTTTTTAATAGTTTATTGTCATGTTGGTTTCCATACAACACCCAGTGTTCATCCCCACAAGTGCCCCCCTCCATGCCCATCACCCCCCTTCCCCTCCCCCCCATACCCATCAGTCCTCAGTTTGTTCTCAACATTCAAGAGTCTCTCCTTGTTTTTAGTATAGTCTTGGTCAAATGTGTCTAATGTCCCCCCAGTGCAGAGGACCCTTGTTTTACTCTCTGGAGACTACACGTCACCCTCCCTATAGAGATGGGAAGTCCTAGTGGCTCACTCCCATGAAGTGAGGGAGAGACATCTTGAGATTTACCTGCTACTTAGGCGGACTTTGCACCACTACCCCTTCTTTTCCTTCCCCTTCAGCCCGACTTCCGGAAGTAGGTGCCACAGGCACTTCTTGAACCCTTTGGAATTCTGTGGTACACCGTGCCTTCCTTCTCCCCATCTTCCCTCCCCCGACATACTGAGGACTGAACTGTCTTCGGTCTAATACATCATTTCCTACACACCCATCTGCTTCCAGTTCCCAATGTCACTGCTATTGTCTCCAATTCTCTATACCCTTGTGGGTGTATGCCTTTAACACACCCCTTGACTGACATTTTAGAGGGTGTTTGGGATGGAGGGAAAAGAGAAATGTGTGCTCAGTCTGCCATCTTTACTGAGAGGCCCATGGACAGATTCTGAAGTTAAACCCACTTTGTATACCTGGTGTAAATCCAACTTGTTTGTGTATGCCATCAACTTTTCATAGTGCTGGATTTACTTTTGCTAAAATCTTTAGGATTTCTTCTCAAACAACTTTGATGTTTTGTGTGTCAATACTTGATTTCACTGTGTGGCTGCCTAACACCCCAGCATGGGGCCACACCACATTTTGTTTACATATTCGACAGCTGACGACTACTGGGGCTAGTTTCACTCTTTGCCTATTAATAAATAGTGCTGCTAGGTGCACCTGGGTGGCTCAGTGGGTTAAGCATCCGGCTTCGGCTCAGGTCCTGATCTCACAGTTTGTGGGTTCGAGCCCACCATCGGGCTCTGTGGTGACTGTTAGCTCAGAGCCTGGAGCCTGCTTCAGATTCTGTGTCTCCCTCTCTCTGACCTTCCCCTGCTCACACTGTCTCTCTCTTTCTCAGAAATAAAAAAAACAGGGGCGCCTGGGTGGCTTAGTCAGTTAAGCGTCCGACTTTCGCTTGGGTCATGATCTCGTGGTTTGTGGGTTCAAGCCCCGCGTCGGGCTCTGTGCTGACTGCCAGCTCAGAGCCTGGAGCCTGTTTCAAAGTCTGTATCTCCCTCTCTCTCTCTGGCCCTCCCCTGCTCACGCTGTCTCTCTCTCTCTCCGAGAAATAAAAAAAAAAAAAAGAAAGAAAGAAATAAAACATTAAAAAATTTTTAAATACTTAAAAAAATGAAATAGTGCTGCTAGGAACGTTCGTATACAAAATGTGGTGGTGGTGGGGTTCTTATTTAGGACATTTTAACCAGCATGAATGAGTAAAATTGGTCTCTAATTTTGTACTTATGTTATTGCTATTTGTTTTGGCATCAAGTTAAATTTTAACCTTACAAATAAGGTAGGTAGGGGTGCCTTGGTCGCTCAGTCAGTTAAGCGTCCAACTTTGGCTCAGGTCATGATCTCATGGTCCATGGGTTCGAGCCCTACATAGGGCTCTGTGCTGACAGCTCAGAGCCTGGAGTTGGCTTCAGATTCTGTGTCTCCCTCTCTCTCTTTGTCCCTACTCTACTCATACTCTGCCTCTCTCTCTCTCAAAAATAAAATAAAAACATTAAATTTTTTAAAAAACTAAGGTGGGCAATATTTCCTCTTTTTCCACTCCCTGGAGGCATTTATATAAGATTGAGATGATCTCTTCCCTTGGGTAGAAAGTGTACAGTTATTTGGGCCTCGTTATCCTTGTAGCACAATTTCCCTACTGACTCAGTTTCTCTAATGGTGATATAATCCTTTGGGTTTTCTATTTCTACTTGAATCTGTTTTGGATAATACTTTCTGATAATTTTCCTATTTTTATCCAAGTTCTCATATTCACAGTCACGGAGCTGTTCATAATATTCTCTATGTCCTCAGTCTCTAGTGTATTTGCAGTGCTTACCTCCATTACATTCTTTATATTGTTTTTTTAAATTTTTTAACATTTATTTATTTTTGAAAGACAGAGAGAAACAGAGCATGAGTGGCCGAAGGGCAGAGAGAGAGGGAGACACAGAATGTGAAGCAGGCTCCAGGCTCTGAGCTGTCAGCACAGAGCCCGATTCAACACTCAAACCCACGAACTGGGAGATCATGATCTGAGCCGAAGTTGGCGCTTAACCAACTGAGCCACCCAGACGCCCCATATCGCTTATTTGCATCCACTGCTTTTTCCTGATTAGTTATGTTCAGTTGTTCCTCTCTAATTCTGTCGTTTGTTAATTTTGTTCTCATCTTTATTCATTTTCCTTTCGTGGGGTTTATTTTTACAACTTACTATAATGAAAACTTTCTGACACTCAGCCAAACTGAAGACAATGCACTGTGAGTGACCAGTGCCCACTGGTTGCTCTACCACTAACACGTGACTGCACCGAGTGGCTTGTGAGTCTTCCGACTATCTGAGCACTGTTATCTCTCATGCACTGTGAGAAACTCCACTATCCCTTTCTGTATTGTTTCTCTGCTTTTTTATGATCTCCTTCTAGAACTCTGACTAGACAAATGTTTGACCTCATACTGTCTTCTATGCCTCAACCCTCTCTATGCTGTTATCTCCTTGTCCTGATTTATTAGTAACTTCTTCACAACTATCTTTCAGTTCACTAAATCCCTCTTTGGATTTAGTCTGTTCAACTTAGCCACTGAGTTTCT